AAAAAAAAAAAAAAGATGAAGAAAAGACAGAAATTCAGGAAATCCAGCTCAATGAAACTAAGCATATTGCAGAAGGGGCAGATCAAAAGCACGAGGAGGTGACTCGTAAGTTGATTATTGAAGGGGACTTGGATCTGAGTTGGCAGAATCCTGTTGCTGAGAGATAGATGAGCAGATCAGACTGGTGAATCTGAATCTGAAGTGTCTGAGTGCTACCGAAGAAAAGTACTCTCAAAAAGAAGACAAATTGAGGAAGACGTAAATATTCTTACTGATAAACTCCAGCCGAGTTTGCTGAGAGATCAGTAGCCAAGCTGGAGAAGACAATTGATGATTTGCAAGATAAACTGAAATGTTCCAAAGAGGAGCACTTCTGTACACAAAAGATGCTGGACCATCTGCTTGATCTGAATGAGGTGTAGAGCACGCAGTTTTGTCCTGCCGCTTCTCCTCCCCTTGACTCTAACTCCGCCTGAGGCCAGCCTACATGAAGCAGGCTTTTCAACTGAGGGCTGATCTGTTGTTAGGTGACCCTATGCACAACAGAACAAAACACTACCCGGTCCTGGACCAACCTCACAATTGTTGCCACTTTTGAGCCCATTGATGCTGCCACTTTGCCAATCCATTTCGCTGGGGGTCTTCTTTTTCTCTGACATCCACCTTACCAAACATGATATCCTTCTCCAGTGACTGGTCCCTCCTGACAATATGTCCAAAGTATGAGAGACGAAGTTTGGCCATCCTGGCCTCCAAGGAGCACTCTGGCTGCACTTCTTCCAAAACGGATCTTTTGGTTCTTTTGGCAGCCTGTGGCACTTTCAATATTCTCCTCCAACACCATAACTCAAAAGCATCAATTCTTCTAGGGTCTTCCTTATTTACTGTCCAACTTTTGCATGCATATGAGGTTATTGAAAATATCATGGCTTAGGTCAGGCTCACCTTAGACCTCAAGCTGACATCTCTGCTCTTCAACACTTTAAAAATGTCTTGTGCAGCAGATTTGCCAAATGCAATACATCATTTCATTTCTTTAACTGGAAGGCTACTTTCTTATCTCACTGTCCACCCTCCCCCCTTCAATCGTGTTTTGTTTTGCATTTTCCCCCTCTGCCTAATTGTCTCTGCCTCTCCCCAGAGACACCAACTGGGCCTAGGGGCTGAGCACCTTTGGGAACAACATTTAAGGGAATTTGAGCACAGTGCAAGTGTCTTTAAAAGCATGTTGTGATGTACACATTTCGTAATTACCTTTTTGGTTGTACCACCGTATGTAAAGCATTCCAAAGAATTCCAACAGCTCTGAAACAGCAATCTAACCCCTTTCTTTTGAAAAGTAACCTTTCAGCTTAATACATATTGCCCTCTCCATAGAGGAGGAAAAGAAGTATTGACCTGCCTTTCTGAGAACAGAACCTAGCCAAGGGAGAGACTCTACTCTGGGAGACCTCGTTGCACTGTACAAAGCACCAGCCAAGCCAGAAAGGTGATTCCAGGAGGAGTTAGCCCAGCAAAAAAAAAATTTTTTTAAATGTGCTGTTCAAGTTTTCAGCTTTAAGGTATCTTTGGTCAGAAGTGACCAAACAAATTAATATGATGAAACCTCTAGCTGAGATCACAGCATTGTCCCATCCTTTGTCCACTCCCTTCCTAAATACTGACAGAATGGATCACATGCCCCTCTGTTGGAGTGACCACTTATTTGCTCTCCTGCCTCCTTTTATAAAAGACAGAAAAAAAAAATGATTTGCCATTGATTTCACCATATGAAACTCATCGCATCACCCTATTCTGGGTCTGAAGCTGCTGTCTCTCAAAGTGCCATGTCAGAGTGCTTTGTATCAGTCATTGCTGGAGAAATCTTGAATATCTTATATGCAAAGTTTGTTTTTGGAAATTTATTTATGATTTTGAAACTTTGCTTCTCTGGGGTTGGGGTATACTGGCCACCCCATCTGGCTGATTTCTCTCTGCAGTTTGTAGGCTGGCAGTGTGTGCTCATCCTTTCCACTCAGTTCCCCCTTTTTGATGAGGTTGTTGTGAAGTATGTCAGGTGTTCATCTTGCAGCTTAGTGGCTTCAAATGTATTCTCCTTTGATGTGGTTTCTTTGGGGGTCCGATTAGAAGAAAGAAAAACCAATAGTGCCACTGCTTTGATACTAAAAATTGACAAGTGTCTTTTTAAAAAAAAATCAAGAACCAGTCCCTCCTCCCAGCCCCCAATAAAAAAACACATTCATGGACCAGTAATTATAGTGTAATCCATGCACTTCCTTTTTCTTGAGGACGTTCCAAAGGTATGCACGATTTGGAATTAGCATGAGCTTTCTCTCAGACCAGGTGATTATTAGTCCTTTTGTTATTGTTAGGTGTCATCGAGTCAGTTCCAACCAAAAGCAACCCAGTATAGGGTTTCTGTGGAGTGATTGGTTGACTTTGAACTGCCAACCTTGCTGGAAGCCAGCCCCCCATTGCCCGTTGACACAGTTCCGGCAAAGGAGAAGCATCCTCATGGCAGATGTTTTGTGGGAAAGCACCCTTTATCTCTCCTTTTTGGGATGGTTCTGATTTCACTTGTGGGGACACGTTGTACTGCCACATTCACGGCTCCCACTGTGAGTTCTGCAAAGCTTAGGAAAAACCAGTCTTGCAACAACTGTCTCAACTTCACTGGATTAGATTAAAAGGGAACTGTAAATAAATTAAGGCAGCATGACCTATTGCCTCCCGCAAAAAAACCTGAATACAAAGCAGCTGCTTTTATGAGATCACAGAAGCAGATAAAAAGCAAAAGTGAAGCCAACCAACCCCCCATGAGTCCCACTTAAGATAGGTGGTGAATTATGGTGACCCCCTCGAGGGAAATGGGCTACCTATTACTGGCCAGAACCCACAAACCCCTCACTACCATATACAGGAGCCTGCAAAGCCATTTGAACCGCAAGGTCGGCAGTTCAAGCTCACCAGCTGCT